CTGAGACGCCCGCCCCACGGCCCCGCATGCAGTCCTGCTGCTGTGAGGCCTGCAGGGGGGAGGGGAGCCCCCGGCACGGCAGGGGCCTTCAGTCGACACTATTTCTGTCTTCCGTTCTGCTGTTTCCTTCTCCAAGTTTAAAATTAAAAATAGATGTTTTGAGAGACCAGCAGACTGGCAAGCAGGCCGGTCTTTGGGGATGTTCTGAGCTGCCTTTCGGTGATTTGTGACATCTGCGGAAGGTGGAATGGCATTCTAGGCAGCAGTGAGAGAGGATGCCCTTGTTAGTCCGGGCCGATCTCAAACACTGGGTTGAGGGGTGAGAAGCAAGCCACACAAGGAATCGTGCAGCAAGAGATCACTTACACAGAGTGGACAGGTGACCGCCTATGTTCTTTGCTGGCACCTGTGGTCCCCGCCTTCAGGAGAACCTTCCCTTGGGGACAGAGGAACAGGCCATGAGGCTGGTGTGAGGGCCCAGGGGGTGGGTCTATAATCACTCCCACTTATTGAGCCAGGCTCTCTTCTTCTTCTTCTTCTTTTTTAATGTTTTATTTATTTCTGAGAGAGAGAGAGAGAGAGAGAGAGACAGCATGAGCAGGGGAGGGTCAGAGAGAGAGGGAGACACAGAATCTAAAACAGGCTCCAGGCTGTCAGCACAGAGCCCGACGCAGGGCTCGAACCCCCGAACCGTGAGATCATGACCTGAGCCGAAGTCGGACGCTTACCCGACTGAGCCCCCAGGCGCCCCAAGCCAGGCTCTCTTCTAACAGCCTCACCCATCATCCCCATTTAACAGATGAGTAAACCGAGGCGCAGAGAGGTTAAGCGGCCTGTCCAAGGTCTCACAGTTAGCAAGTTGCAGAGCCAGGGCTCCAACTCAGTACATGGCTTCTCGCCTGTGGCTCCTAGTTCTTCCTCTCGTCCTGAAGTGGTTGAGGACCCTCTGAAGCAAACGTGGGCCAATATTCACATCGACAAGGTGCAGTGGTGTGTCCTTGGGTGCTCTTTCTTCTCTTCTTTACAATCTTCTGTAGGTGTGAAATGTTTACAAAAGCCCTTGGGCTCCGGTCCGAGGCCTCTGCCGGCCTCAGGCCTCATCCACCCACAATCCACATCGCACAGGATAGGCCAATGGCCAGAGTGGCAATGACCACCTCGCTTTCCAGTGCTCCCAAGAGGACCCCCGGCGTGTTCTGCTGCTGCGGCTGACGGCCCTAGGAGGTTCTGGCATCTGGGGGAAAGACTAGCCAACGCCTGGCCTCCCCTCTTGAGACAGAGAGGGCAGAGAGCCCCGCGGCCCACAGGCTGCCCATGGCCTTCCCGTCATTCTGGAGAAGGAACGAATGACCGTGTAATTAGCAGATGTGTGGTCTCCAGGACCGCCGCTGCACCGACCCAGTCTGGCCACACCCAGTCTGTGTGTCCTGCTTTGGGCAGCCGACAGTGCCCACCGGGGTCCTGGAAATGTGGGACCCTCAGCACCCAAGCCTGGGACTCGGAGTGGCTAGCAGTGGCCTGGTCTCACTTCTTTCCCATGCTCACTCAAGACCGTAGGGAAAGGGTAGCTGGGGGGGGGGGGGGCCCTGCGTGGAGTCACGGGGTGGGGGGGCGTCCACAGCTGAGTATCCCCTCATGCCAGGCGGGGCCTGGATTAGGCGACAAGGGGCCCTGACTCATCTGTTGACAGTATAGAGCCAATGTCTGGAGAAGGAAATCCTGAGGTTTCGTCAGCCACAGGGCGGGTTCCCGAGGCTGTTTCCATGGGGGGCGGGGGAGGGGGGACAGATTGAGGGCACACGGGGACCAGCTCTGTCCCTGCCCCCAGGCGGTGTCCTCTCTCTGCTTCCTCATAACTGCAGAAGGCATTTGGTGAAATTGTCTGGTCTGTCAGACCCATGGAGCTCAAGTCCCGTGGAGATAGCAAAGTCATTCATTCACCACTCACTCACTCACTCATTCATTCATGTCTTCGTTCATTCATGCGATGATTAGTTCATACAAATAATAGAACGCCCAGCACTGTACCCTGAGGGTTCAATAGCCAGGACCCCTGCCCTCAGGGAGGGGACTCTGATAGGGTGCCGAGGACCCAGTTCAAACTTCTATTACTGAGGTTTGCTTTATTTGAAACTAATGAAGCCTGGGTTCCCTTTGATTAATGATAGTGTGTGATATCTTTCTCCACCCCTTTGTCTGCAACCTATCTGAGTCTCCACATTTAAATTGAGTTTCTCGTAGATCACGAATAGTTGGGGGCTGTTTTTATCCACTCTGACAATTGGTGACTTTGAAGTGGTTTATTTCAATCATTCACATTTAACGTGATTAATCTCTCTTCAAGTTTACTTATTCATTTTGAGAGAAAGAGAGAGATGAGGAGGGGCAGAGAGAAAGGGAGAGAGAAGCTCAAGCAGGCTTTGTGCTGTCAGCACAGGGCCCGACGCGGGGTTTGAACCCACAAACCATGAGACCATGACCTGAGCCAAAGTCAGACGCTTAACCGACTGAGCCACCCAGGCGCCCCCTGTTTGTCTTTCTTTCTTTTTTTTTTTTAATGTTTTATTTATTTCTAGGAGAGAGAGAGACAGTGTGAGCAGGGGAGGGTCAGAGAGAGAGGGAGTCACAGACTCTGAAATAGGCTCCAGGCTCTGAGCTGGCAGTCAGCACAGAGCCCGACGTGGGGCTCAAACCCACAAACTGCGAGATCATGACCTGAGCGAAAGTCGGACACTCAACCGACTAAGCCACCCAGGGGCCCCTGTTTGTCTTTCGAACATGTTTTCTCCTCCTTGTATGTTAAGTTTGGGAAGTCCCTACTGATCTACCTTCAAGTATAGCAATTCTCCCCTTGACAGCTTCCCGTCCCCTGATGAGCTCACCAAAGGCGCTCTTCGTTTCTGTTACAGTGTTTTTTGATTCCTAGCATTTCTTTTAAAAATTTTTCATAAACTTTCCTTAATGCTTACATTTCCCACCTGATCCTGCATGCCGTCAACCTTCCATTAGAGCCTGTAACATACTAGTCATGCTTCTAATTCCAAATTCTGTGTCTTAACCTGAGTCTGGTTCCGATGCCTTTCCTCTTCAGAGAGTCTTTTCTTGTCATTTATCACGCCGTGTGTGTGATTTTTTCCTTGAAAGCCAGGCATGTTGGGGCGCCTGGGGGGCTCAGTCGATTGAGCGTCTGATTTCAGTTCAGGTCCTGATCCCACAGTTTTGTGAGTTCGAGCCCCGCGTCGGGCTCTGTGTTTTCAGCGCAGAGCCTGCTTCGGGTCCTCTATCCCTCCCCCTGCTTACACTCTCTCCCTCTCAAAAATAGATAAACATAAAAAAAGAAAAAGAGAAAGAAAAGCCAGACACGTTGTCCCGGGTAACAGGAACTGAGGCAAACGCGCGGTGAGCATGAGGGTCTATGCTGATCTGGCAGGCGGTGCACTGTGGCTGTGGGAGGCTCGAAGCTCCCAATTCCTCTGCGGTCCTCTCTTCGTCTACACTGTGGTCTTTGCGATTCCCTAGGATCTTCCCCTTGGAAGGAGTGCGTGACGGTTACCATGCCGGAGCCCCGTTGAGGTGGTGGTAAGGAGTCGGGGAGGAGAAATGTTCTATAATCTTCCGTCCTTGGGCAGGGACATTCACCAGTGTTTCTCAGGTCCTCTGCATTCAGTAAGTCTCCAAGTGTAGAGGGGGTTGGGGTTGGGGACGCGCCATCCCCAGGGCGGATAAGGCTCTGGTAAAGCCTTTTTCCCTGGAGAGCAGGCCTTTGTTATGGAGATCGCTGTGGGTCCACACTTTCCACTGGGGAGATTTCTGGAGGTTCAGGGCAAACCACCGCCTCCTCCATTGGAGGGCCACCCTCCCTCCCCCCAGGAGCTCCTCAGCCTCACACCCCAGCACGCGGCCCCCAGCAGCTCCTCAAAATGACCCCTGAAGCCCTCCTACCTGAGCAGATAGAGACTGAGTCTCAGCTGAGACCCTGCATTTGCTTGTCTCTGCAGATTTGGGGGTGGCACTCGGCCCTGAGTCCTGACACCTCAGTTCCCTAATGGGTCTGAGAAAAGCCGATTGTTAGTTCAGCTTTTTTCTTATGGGCAGGACAGGAGCCACAACTTTCAGGCTCCTTCTCGGTCAGAGCAGAAACAGGCTTGGGATCTCGAGCACCTGCTGTCCATGAGAGGCTGGGGAGCCCTCCGTTCACTCGGGGCCTGTGTTCCCTCTTGGGTATAAGGGGACCCATAACCCCTGCCGGTGACACAGGGCAGAGGCGGGGCACGCGGCTGCCCAGAGCGCAAGGGGTTGGGGGGGAGGCCCAGCTGTCCCAGGCTGTAGGGGAATCTGCTGGCCCCGAGGGGAGACGGGGAAGAAGCCTGGGGTGAGGACCGCGGGTGGACTCTGGAGGCGGCCCATCCACCCTCCCCAACCCAGGCCTGGGTTTCACTTCTCCTTATGAGTCCCGGGCAGCACAGCCCGCCCTTCACGCTGCTTCACCCCCATTTTTAAGTGATTGGGTGAGAATCCCCAGCCCCTGGCTCCATCATGTCCCTCCCTGTCCCATGTCCCATGGCCCAGTCGGAGGCACCCCGGAGTCCCCGCACCTCCCGGCCTGAATAGCGCCCGGCGGAAGAGGGAAGCCCAGTCGGCACCTCGGGCCCCAAGAGGCCGGGCCACCAGCGCCCTGTATTTAGAAAGGCTCCCGGTCCAGGAGGAGTGGGGGATGGGGAGGGTGCCGCCGGAACAGCGCGAGCAGAGCTGGTGCCGGGTGCGGAGTTCCCAACCTCCAGGCCCTGCGGGGTGAGCCCGCCCCTGCCCCGCGGCCGCCCCGGGAGGGTCCGGGGAGGGTCCGGGCCGGAGGGAGGCGAGCGCTCAGGGCGCGGCCGGCAGCTCCCGGGGCGAGCGGGGCCGGGGTGCCCGCCCCCGCACCACCCCCGCCTCCTCCTCCCCTTCCCCTCCCCCTCCCCCTCCCCCTCCTCCGGGCCGGGGCGGAGCGGGGCGGCGGCGGCATGGCGGGCGGGCCGGCCGGGCCCGCGGCGCTGCTGGCGCTGCTGGCGCTGCGGGCGCTGGGGGCGGCGGGGCACCCGCAGTGCCTGGACTTCAGGCCGCCCTTCCGGCCGCCGCAGCCGCTGCGCTTCTGCGCGCAGTACTCGGCCTTCGGCTGCTGCGCCCCCGAGCAGGACGCGGCGCTGGCCCGCCGCTTCGCAGCGCTGGCTGCGCGCGTGGACGCCGCCGAGTGGGCCGCGTGCGCCGGCTACGCGCTCGACCTGCTGTGCCAGGTGAGCGGGCGCGCGGCGGGGCCCCGGCGGCCGGGCGGCGACCGAGGGGGGGCAGCGGGCTCTGGACCCGGCCGGGGCCCCCGGCGGAGTCTTGGGCGCGGCGCGGGGAGACGGGCTTTGCCATTCATTAGCCTCGTGACCTGGGCCTTCTCTGGGCCTCAGTTTCCCCTCGCGAAGCAAGGCGGGCGGACACGGCGATGTCATCACTTCCCTGGGAGTCTGGGAGCCCCTCTGCCCTGGGACCTCCTGGAGGCAGCCCCGAAGAGCCCCGCCCTTGTCAGGGCACCGGGATGGGCAGCCTTTGTCCCGCTCAGGGCGTCCCGCGGTGTCCCGGGGGAGGTGGGAGCTGCCCGCACCCGCAGGGGGCGTGGGCGACGCGCGGGACTTGGGCTGGGAGACGTCGCTCCCAGTGAGGGCCCCTCCCCCGCCCTGAGGACAGGTCTCAGAGCCCCGTCCCCTTCCTGGACCAGACGTGCCCGCTGCTCAGACCCTGCGAGAGGCGCCCTGCGACGCCCCTGGACTTCACGCCCCCACCTCGGTTCGCGGCGTGCGCTCTCCCTGGAGGCGCCCCCGCCTGGCAGAGGGTCCCTCGTCCTTTCAGACCACAGCCCTTCCGTGTCACCTCTCTGTCATCTCCCCTCTGGGGGCAGAGCCCCTACTTCCGCCAGCACAGGACTGTGCCTTAGAGGCTCGTGCGTGGGTCTGACTCCCGAGAGACTGGCCAGAACCCCTGGGGAAATGGAGTCAAGGCCAGGAAGCCCTTAGGCTGGCCCCGCCCACCATCCAGGCAGCGCGGAGGCTCAGGAAGGAAGGGTCCTGAAGGGGGCGGGGCGGGGAGGAGGGGGACACGGCGGGAGGCCTGGCTTGGAATCTGACTTCCTGGGTTGATCCTGGCCCTCCGACCCCTGGCTCTGTGACCCTGGACGGGTCACCACTGCACTTCCATTGCATCATCTTTAAAATAGGGGCAATCTTAGCGGTCCCTCCGAGTTGCCACACAGACAAAAGGGAACATACTCAGGGCTCAGTGGATGGTTCTGGTTGGATTTCTCCAGTGCCTCTTTGGCACCCACTGGCTTCCCAGCTCTAGGCAGGGACAGAGTGGGGCCCAGAGGCCGATTCAGGGAAAGCTCAGAGAGGCAGGGACTTGCCCAGTGGTCACACAGCTCAGTTACGGGCTCGTGGGCCACGCTCAGTGCCAATATGAGTGGGCCACCTGCATCAGAAATCAGAGGGCCATGGTGGGGGGTTTGAGGAAAGGGGCCCTGGGGAGCACCAGAATGCAAAGGAGGGGGACACCTGCCTATGGTGGTCACCGCTCAGTCCTTGTGCGGTCTGTGCGTTTCTGGGGAGCCAGAATGGTCTGCTCAAGCACCTCCCTCCCTCCCCAGCACGGGGGCTCTTTGGAACCAGGCCCTTCCCACCCCTGCTCTCCTAGCTGGACTCATGCATCCACTCCGCATTTGTTTCTTGAGCACCTACTACGTGCCAGGCTCAGCAGGGCAAGTAAGGTAGGCGGGTCCTAGGAGGAGGAAGGGAACGGTCAGCCCTGCTGACCCCCCTCCCCTCTTCCCAGGGGAATCTTCCCAGCATGGCTTGGCCTTGAGTCACCAGTGGGGGAATGGCCGCTAGCACTTTACCCCAGGCGTCTCTGAGAGTGACCTCATGTCTGGAGTGAACTTGGAGAGGGCAGTGGAGGTTGGATCACGGTTTCCCTGGTGGGGCCTCAAGGGAGGGCAGGAGAGTGCAGGATGGAGGACCGGGCTGTCTGTGAGCCAAGGCCACGTCTGCATTCAGCACCTCCTGATTTCCACCCTGGGGAGGTGGCCAAGGTGACTTATTTACAAGTTTCAGTCAATGACAGCATTCAGGCCTTCACATCTGCCTTAGGGAGCTGGACCCCAGACAGGAGAGAGGCCATGAAAACATGCTCGCTCCCACAGTCCCTTCTAGAACCTGCCCCCATCTGGTGCCCACAGCCCCTCCAGGTGCCCAGGATGGCTTCTTAGCTGGAGGGCGATCGTCCCTTCTGGCCCTTCAGACTCTTTCCTAGGGCTTTGCCCTCATCTGACTGATGCCTGTGTTGTCGAGAGGAGGAAAGAGAGCTTGTGACACGTGATGTTCCCCGGTTCCTAGTGTCCATATGAGAACTTCCTGTATAAACGAGATTGTCTGTCTCTGTAACCTGAAGTCTTCGAAGCCTGGTTTCTGATGGAAATCTGCATGAACATACTCTGCGAGTGCATGTGCTGGACAGATGTCTCCCCACAGCCTTTTAGGGGCTGGCCCTGTGCTGGGTGCTGGGCCCAGAGGCAGTTGGCAAGTCATAGGCCCCACCTCCAAAGTCCCCTTGTTCAGATCACGGGACAGACACATGGATACTTACCAGAATGCACAAAAGGGCTCTCAAGGGTGACTGGACACTACGGGGGATAGGGAGAAAGGCCACACTTTTCCCTGTAAAAGTCAGGGAAGGCTTCCTGGAAGAGGAAACATTGAGTTGCATCTTGATAGTTTATACCATTTGAGCATTTATTGAGCAACACATGCATCCTCTCATTTATTCCTACCAACACCCATGAGGTTGGAATTCCTTTTCCCTTTTACAGACGAAGACACAGGCACAGAGAGGCTGAGGAACTTGCCCGAGGTCTCACAGGGAATCGTAGATTCAGTCTCTAATGTGCTCTGGCTCCAAAGCCCTTCTCTTAATGACTTTGTCATATTGCCTGTTTTCTTGAAGCCCCACTGTGTGCTGGGCCCTGGGGCCCTGCCCTGGAAGGTCCCATAGTCTGTGGGGTGGGTGGACGTTCAAAGAGATAAGTCCTAGCCAGGCAGACCAGCTGAGCCGTCTCTGGCAATGAGGCGGTGACGGCCCAGGAGGAGAGCTCACCCCACGAGCTACGGAGTTACATTTCGGTGATGTGCATCTGAGATATGGACAGGGGGCTGTGGGAGCGTCCACGAGGGGCCAGGCTGGGGGAGTCGGGGCCCTGGGGGGATGGAGGAGCCAGAGGAGACTTTTCAGTGGGGCCTGGAGTCATGAGTAGGAGTTTGCCAGATGAGGAAATGGGAAAGGAAGGAATGCTCTGCCTGGAGAACACTGCGCGTGAAGGCCCGGCCGTCCTGAGCAACAGGGAGTGGACCTAAGAAACCCTTGGGACTCAGGACCATGAGCTGTGAGCAGTGGCCGCTGCACAGGGCGATTTCAGGGCAGCGAGGAGGGCAGGCCCTGGTGCAGTGTGATGCCCGATGGGCTCTCCGTGGGTTTTCCACTGCCTCTTCCACGGACCCTGCGAGGCTCGTTGCGCACGGTCCCTGCCGACAGCGACCACTGCAGCCTCCTGTCATGTCCTGCTTGTGGATCACTCTGGTCTGAGCGCCACAAAAGTATGTAGGCCTCGGGGCGCCTGGGTGGCTTAGTCGGTTAAGCGTCCGACTTTCGCTTCGGTCATGATCTCACGGTTCGTGGGTTCGAGTCCCGGGTCAGGCTCTGTGCTGACTGCCAGCTCAGAGCCTGGAGCCTGTTTCAGTCTGTGACTCCCTCTCTCTCTGACCCTCCCCTGCTCACGCTGTCTCTCTCTCTCTCTCTCTCTCCTAGAAATAAATAAAACATAAAAAAAAAAAAAAGTATGTAGGCTTCAAGTGAGGGCTCGCCAGGCCCGGGTCCGACGCGTGGACGCTGAACCTCCAGCCTGGCCCCCCGGATTCCCCATTGCTCCCCCTCTAGTTCTGGGCCGGGCTCTGGGGAGTGCAGGGCACTCCAATCGGCTTTCAGTAGCCTGTCCTGCTCCTCTTCGTGTCTCTGGAGCTGAGGACGGTGCCCGGCGCACAGTGTCCCGTAAACACTTGCCGATAGAAACACCACTGACTAATCCGGAAAGAGCACCAGTGTGGGCGTCAGGAGGGCTGGGGCGGAGCCGCGGCCTGACCGCTTCTTGGCACATGGTCTTCTCTGGGCCTCAGTTCCTCATCTATAGGACAGAAGTCACAGTGACCCTGCCTTGAAGAAATCAAAGGAGGAATGTGTGCAGCCGGACCCTCCCCCCCACCTCCCCTCCCCAGCTGCTGGGTGGACAGCTCCTACGAAGGAGGGCCCCCGGCAGCCGCGTGGGACAGGATGCCACCGGAGGCCCGGGCCTGGCTGTCTCACCCGCTGGCCGGCTAAGTGGGGACACGGGAAGCCCTGTGAGGCCCGGGACAGCGACTGACCGGAGACGTCCAAGCAGACGTCGCCAAGTGGCCCTTAGCCTGCAGTAGCAGGAGAGGTGCCAGGAGGTCAAGGCCATGGTGTGACCACGACGCTTCCACGGGAGGGACTCGCCCCTGGCCCAGAGCCTGAGCACACACCCACCAGGGCAGTCTGCCACCTGCTGGCCCTGGAGGCCTCCTGTGGGAACCCAGCCTGGCCCTGCCGGCGAGGAGGGGGGTGTGTGGCCGCGGAACAACCATCCCCTGAGGCCTGGAGGGTCGTGTCAGTGCAGACCTCGGCCTGCTGAGCCCACGGTGGGGCAGAGGGTAGAGGGTGCCAGGCACAGACAAACATAATTACCTCGGCTCAGGTCACGGGCTCTGACCCAAGGAGGTTCTTTTTTTTTTTTTTTTAAGTTTATTTATTTTGAGAGAAAGAGTCCCAAGCAGACTCTGCACTGTCAGCGCAGGGCCCGATGTGGGGCTCGAACCCACAAACCGAGAGAGATCATGACCTGAGCTGAGATCAAGAGTTGCATGGGGGCGGCACCCGGGTGGCTCAGTCGGTTGGGCTTCCGACATCAGCCCAGGTCATGATCTCACGGTTCGTGAGTTCGAGCCCCGCGTCGGGCTCTATGCTGACAGCTCAGAGCCTAGAGCCTGCTTCAGATTCTGTGTCTCCTTCTCTCTCTCTGACCCTCCCCTGTTCATGCTGTCTCTCTCTCTGTCAGAAATAAATTTTAAAAAACATGAAAAATTGAAGGAAAAAAAAAAGAGTTTCATAGGGCACCTGGGTGGCTTAGTTGGTTAAGCATCCAGCTTCAGCTCTGGGCATGATCCCATGGTTCGTGAGTTCAAGCCCTGCATCCGGGTCTCTGCTGTCAGCACAGAGCCCACTTCAGATCCTCTGTCTCCCTCTCTCTCTGCCCCTCCGTTCCCCCTACCCCAAATACATAAACATTAAAAAAAAAACAAAACTGAGTCACTTAATTGCCTGAGCCACCCAGGCATCCCCTGAGGGAGGTTTTCATAGAGCTTTGGAGCTGAGGCCTCTGCTCTGGGTGGGGGGTGGGGTTCACTTAACTAGGCTTTGGGGGTGGTAGCAGCCAGTGCACCCGGAAATGCCCCAGCTTCTCCCTGTCTCCCATCCTCCAACCCCAGTAGGTCAAATCCGGCCTTGGTTAGGGACTTCCTTCTCAGCCTCTTCTTTCCCGTCTGTACAATGGGACTGAGAACATACTCCTGGCACAGTCAGTTGCGTTGAGGGGGAAATGTGGATTCACCCAGCATGGCCCTGGTCCACAGTTGACCCCAATGCCCAGGGCTGTTATGGTTACCACTATTTCTCCAACAGCTGTGGCTGGTATTTAAGGAAGAATCGATTGCTGCTTTTAAGGGAAGGGCATGTCTGCCAAGGGAACAATGTGCGCTGAGGCTCGGAGGTGAAAATAGCAGAGAGTGTCAGGAAACTGAGGGGGGCAGGAGGCGGGAGCTGATGGCAAAGCTGCATCCGTGAGCGCTGGCTCTCAGGCTGGGGTTGGGGTGTGAAGTGAGGGATCCTCTCCGCTCTCGGGGGGCTGTGGGGGGGCTGCTGGAGGCCTGAAGCTGGGGAGAGGCCCCCTGGGGTTGGTCACCTCTCCCTGGGTTCCCAGAGAGCAGAGCCTGGGGCAGAGTTATGGGTTATTTCCTTCTTGGGGCGAGAGGACCCAGCGGCACGAGTGATGGGGGCCGGGCCAGGGGCTGCTGCTCGATGCTTGACCGAGTTCCAAGAAGCCATCCAAACTGCGAGTCGGGACCGTCTGCTGGGCAAGGAGGAGGGCAGAACACTTTGCCCATCAGCTCTGACTGCCCTGTATTCCAGATCATGCCCTGTGGGCCCTGAATGGGGTCTCCAGTGTCTCATCCGTGGTGGGGTCCTCGACAGGGGGCCAGGGAAGCCAGGGGCGGCTGATCCATCTGTCCCCAGGGGAGAGCTGCACTGGCACCCTGGCGGCAGAGGACCACCCAGGACCCTGCCCGAGGTGCCCGAGCAGTGGAGGAAGAGGGGTCCCGGGCCAGGGGCTGCACGGTGTGGGTGTTATCAACCTGTACGTGCACCAGCGGTGCTGGGGAGAGTGGGGGCGGCCCGAGGCCAAACCCAGACCCCTCTGTGCTGCCCAAATGGTACTGAATGACCCTGTGCCTCAGTCTCCCCATCTGTAACACTCTCTCCTTCATGGGCCCTTGTGAAGATGAAGCCAGTAATGGAGGTAGGAGCACCCAGTCACCGTTAAGGACTGGTTGGGTAAGTTAGTATCCAGCACATTCCCTACACATTCACTATGGGCTTGCTATGTGCTAGGTACTGTCTTAGGTTCCCGGACACACACTGACCAAGACACAGTTCCTGTCCTTGTAGGGGTGCCTGGTTGGCTCACTAAGTTAAGCGTCTGACCTCAGCTCAGGTCATGATCTTGCAGTTCGTGAGTTCGAGCCCCGAGTCGGGCTCTGTGCTGATAGCTTGGAGCCTGATCCTGCTTCGGATTCTGTGTCTCATTCTCTCTCTCTGCCCCTCCCCCACTCGTTCTCTGTCTCTGTCTCTCTTTCACTCAAAAATAAATAAAGATTAAAGATTCCTGTCCTTGTAGAATCTTTCCAAGGAAGACAGACAGTAAACATGCAAACGTTTTCATTTTTATCATGATACCAGATAATGGTAAGGTTTGTGATTCAGGGTGTTTTAATTTAGTTTTGTTTCGTTTTAAGTTTATTTATTTATTTTGAGAGAGAGAGAAAGCGTGTGTGGGGGAGGGAGAGAGAGAGGGAGTGAGAGAGAATCCCAAACAGTCTCCACACTGTCAATGCAGCGCCCCACGCGGGGCTGGAACTCAGGAACTGTGAGATCATGACCTGAGCTGAAGTCCGAAGGTTAACCGACTAAGCTACCCTGGGAGGTTGTTGGTTGTTTTTCTAAGCAGAGTCAGAGGTCAGACCGGGTTGGGGGGTGGCTGTGGGTCTGGGCAGATTTCTCTGAGGACGTGTCCCTTGAGCGGGGATCTAAATAAAGCGAAGGAGTAAGTCATGCAGATACAGGGCTGAGGCATCATATGAAAAGAGAAGTACCTAAAAATGCCTCAGGGGAGCCTTGGGGGCTCAGTCGGTTAAGCATCTGACTTTAGCTCTGGTCACGATCTCATGGTTCATGGGTTCGAGCCCCACTGTCGGGCTCTGCGCTGACAGCTCAGAGCCTGGAGCTGCTTCCGATTCTGTGTCTCCCTCTGTCTCTGCCCCTCCCCCACTTGTGCATTCTGTCTCTATCTCTGTCTCTCTCAAAATAAATAAACATTAAACAGATTTTTTAATACATTAAAAATCAGTGCCTCAGACCCTTTCTGGCACACAGTAGGTCCTCAAGGGCTGCTGCTGTTAGCAGTAGTAATATTGTCGTTATTTAGTCTAACAGAAGCAGCGTTGAGGCGAGAGAAAGAGGAAGAAGGTGAGGAGATACGAGGTTGCTGCGTGTTGCTGGACGGATGGGGGCCCATTTTACAGATCAGCAGCCTGAGGCCCTGGGGGGCGGGTAACAGACCTGGCACACAGCATCCCCCCCCCCCCCCCCCCCCCCCGTCCTGCAGGAGTGCTCGCCCTACGCCGCGCACCTGTACGACGCCGAGGACCCGGCCACGCCGCTGCGCACGGTGCCCGGGCTCTGCGAGGACTACTGCCGCGACCTGTGGCAGACGTGCCGGGGCCTGTTCCGCCACCTGTCGCCCGACCGCGAGCTCTGGGCCCTGGAGGGCAACCGCGCCAAGTTCTGCCGCCACCTGTCGCTGGACGACGCCGACTACTGCTTCCCGCGCCTGCTGGTCAACGAGAACCTCAACTCGGACCTGGGCCGCGTGCGCGCCGACGCGCGGGGCTGCCTGCAGCTGTGCCTGGAGGAGGCGGCCAACGGGCTGCGCAACCCCGTGGCCATGGTGCACGCGCGCGACGGCACCCACCGCTTCTTCGTGGCCGAGCAGGTGGGGCTGGTGTGGGCCTACCTGCCCGACCGCTCGCGGCTGGAGCGGCCCTTCCTGAACATCAGCCGCGCGGTGCTCACGTCGCCCTGGGAGGGCGACGAGCGCGGCTTCCTGGGCATGGCCCTGCACCCCGGCTTCCGGCTCAACGGCAAGCTCTACGTCTACTACTCGGTGGGGGTCGGCTTCGACGAGTGGATCCGCATCAGCGAGTTCAGGGTCTCCGCGGACGACGTGAACACCGTGGACCACAGCTCCGAGAGGTGGGTTCCCTGGGGGGCGGGGCTGAAATCGGCTGCCCCGCGCCCCGGGAATGCGCCGCTGCTGCGACAGGACCAATCCGCGGGGTGCACCTGCACTCGCTGCCAAATCCTCCGCCACACCCAGCGAGGAGGCTGGGCCCCATGTTCTGGGATGTTCTGGAGCCTCAGAATAGCGTCGCAAGATCATGTCCAGACTCCCACATCAGCCACTGCAGGTGGTTCATTCCATGCGATTCTCTTAAAGTCCAGTGAGACTCTCCCCATTTTGCAGGTGAGGAAGTGGAGGCTCGGAGCGGTAAAATGAGCTGCTAGGCCACACGGCTGGGAAGCGTCAGAGCTAGAATCCCCATGTGCCCCTCTCCTGAGCCCCACCTTCCACTTCTCCCCTCCCAACCCTCTGTCCCCCCTCCACCTCCCCCAGCAGGTTTATCTCCACCTTTCTTTTTTTTTTTTTTTTTAAGAAAAATGTTTAATGTTTTTTAAAAAATTTATTTCTGAGAGAGAGAGAGAGAGACAGCATGAGCAGGGGAGGGTCAGAGAGAGAGGGAGACACAGAATCCAAAGCAGGCTCCAGGCTCTGAACTGTCAGCACAGAGCCCGACCTGGGGGGATCTCACGAACCCATGAACCATGAGATCATGACCTGAGCCGAAGTCAGACGCTTAACCGAGTCACCCAGGCGCCCCTATCTCCACCTTTCAACACTAGCCTCCTGTCTGTGTGTTATCTATGGACACCCCCCCCCCGCCCCCACCATGTTCAAAACTGCTCTGACCTAGGGTGGCATGAGGGGCATATGCATCAGTCTGGGTCCAACAGGAAAATAAATCCTGTACCAGCTAATTCAGCGGCAAGATTTGATGCTGGGAATTAGCTACTCAGGCAACCTGGGGAAGAAGTGAGGCAACTCTGAGTTTACCAATTAGAGGAAGCTGCCTCCACCTCTCAGAAGGACAAAGTGAGAAGGTGGGGCCACTCAGTGGAAGATGAAAACACACAGTGGGCCTGGGCAGGGGAGTTGGGGCCATGGAGGAGGTACAGCTACTGCCAAGACATGGCCTGAGCAGAGAGAGAGAGAGAGAGAGAGAGGGAGAGAGATGGGGAGAAATACCCTGGCTTCTCCTTCCTCCCGCCCTCCAATCTCCTGCCAGTGCCTTCCATTGGCTGACCCTTTGTGGAGGCCAGCTGGCAAGGGAGCATGGGAAATGTAGTTTGCAGGATCGGAGTCTCTGAAGCAGAGAGCGGGGAGGGCCAGAGCCAGGACCGATCTGAGGCAAATAATGGCACATCATGTATTTCATAAAACTGTAAAATCTTGACATTGAAAGTATGAAAAGGAGAATGAATGAAATATGCTGGCTAATGTGAGGGCTAATGTAGGTCTTGTCAGGCTGCATTAATTTTGACTATGAGCATCCTGGCAGCCAGAGCAAAAGGAGAAAACGTAAGTCTCATGATCTTACATGAGGCTGTATAGCCAGTTCTCCAAGAGATACCAGGTTTCTCTCTTGCAGCAGACAGATGGATGGGACAGAATGGATGTGCTTCATTGGTGGCTTTTAGAAAGTGACTCTTGATAAAAACTGAAGGTGCGACATGCAATATACAGATGAACATATTTCAGAGTGAGTGTTCACTGAGAATCCTCTGGGGACCTATCAAGTACAAGCCTAGAACTTGACTCTCAGAGAGGGGGAAGTGGGCCTGGCTAGTTCAGGACGGGGCCAAGACCTCGGGGTCATCCTTGCCCAAGTCAACTGTCAGTCTCTGTTCCCAGGGCTGGGATCCCAGCGAGAGGCAGAGACCTGATGGTCTGAACTATCCTTTCCAGGGAGGACTTGGGGCTTTGTTTGGCTCACCACGTCATGTCAGTTGGCCTCCGTATGTTGGCCTCAGTGGAAGGTCTTGGATCTGAAGGTTTACAGCCCTGAACTCAAGTTACTTGACCTTGTTGTACCTTGGTTTTTCTTACCTGTATTAACAAAGGATTAGTAAGTCAGTGACCGATTCTGGAAAACCTAAGCAGACAGGGCGTTGGCTACAAAGGTATTAGGAGGCTCTGGAGAAGGAAAAGGGTGAAGATTAGCAACCGCAGGAAGCCAGAGGAACAGAAGGGAACGGTGCTTTGCTAAGTTTGCTGCTCCTGGTACATCCCAAGATGTCTGCGTGGAAACCCAAGAGTCCACACTCAGGAGCCACTGTTCCCATCCCTGCACCCACCACTTCCGGAAGCCAGGGAAGTGTGGCTTCTCCCTTCCTCTTGCCCCTCCACCCTCCGTTGGCAAACCCCAACCAGAAGCCAGCCAGCTGGCCGTGTAGTGGAGGGTTTTCTGCCGTGAGAGTAAATGAGGTTGCTGAGGGGTGAGTGTGTATGTGCTCAGCTACCCACATCAACCACCCACCTCCTTAGAAGTTATGGCACATAACAAATGAAGGGGTGTGGAGAAAGTGCTCGGCTTTAGTGGCTGGTGTGTGGGCAGCTATGATAAGGAAGAAACTAGCTGTGCCAGTGACCGGGTCAGCAGTGTTGCATAATTCTAACTGGGGAGCTAGCGGTGGGCAGCAGTGAGAAGACCGAGTTCCAACTCTGATCCCTATGGGCTGTGTGGCCCTGGGCAAGTTGCTCAGCCCCTCTGCGCCTCCAGTTCCTCGTCAGCACAATGGAGTGAATTATCCCCGCCCAGTCTACCAGATGGATCCTTCTAAAAATCACCTGCTATAAAATATATGACAAGTCTTTTCAACCGTGAAATGGCTTCTGAGAGAGAGAGGAGATTTTATTGCTGTGATCTCGTTTTGTGTTTTTGCTGAGGTTGGTGTTTTTAAGTTTGTTTGTTTGGTGGGGGTGGCTTATCTCCTTTTAGGATAATCCTGGAGATTGAAGAGCCAGCCTCCAACCACAATGGAGGCCAGCTGCTGTTTGGAGACGACGGGTACCTCTACATCTTCACTGGTGACGGCGGGATGGCCGGAGACCCCTTTGGAAAATTTGGAAATGCCCAAAACAAGTACGTTCCACTTGGGGCTGGCTGGTGGGTTGGTTTACATAGCTTCCTGGAGGAGGGGGTTTACTTCCTGGGCCACACGGCACAGGGCAGTAGAAAGGGCTTTGGGCCCCAGCTCAGTCTGCAGCTGGGGACCCCTGTCAAGTCGCTGCCTCTCGCCAGTTAGATGGGATAATAATAATCTCCAGGGGGAGGCTTGTCATGAGGAGTAACAGCGATCCTGTTTGTCGAGGGCGAGGCCCAGAAGCCACTTGTCACAGGTGCCCAATATATGATATCAGAGAGCCTCTGGGAAGATGGGATTTTATTGGAAGTCAGCACAGCCCTGCTTGAACTAGAGGAAAGAAAGAGGGCCTTCCAGGACCAGATGCGAGTGTGAGCTGGTTGGAGCAGGAATGTCTGGGAATGAGGGCTTCTGCCCCATGGGTCACCCACATATGGCCCGGAAACTGAGGCATAGTCTTGCTGTCACATATTAACTTCTTGGCTTGAGCAGATGGCCTGCCATTATTCTACTCCTTACACACACACACACACACACGCACACACGCATGCAGTGTAGATGAGGCTATCTAGGGCAGCCTCCTCCCTTCTCTTAGCTAAAATGACAAAACCTTCCTTAGCCCAGAAAGTAAAAATAGCGAGGGTGATGTTGATTACAGTAATTAAATGTTCATGATTTGTCACTTGCGCTTTCATACGTGACAGTGTAGGAGTCACTGAAGCTTTCTCGTGTTTGGGATGTGTTTAGAGATGTAGTTGGGAAAATAGAAATTAAGGATTTGTGGATAATTGGACAGAACTTAAAACATTATTTTGCAGCTATGAGTTTGGCCCCCTTCCGCGGCGAAGCCCGCTGCGCGGTGTGTGGCTTCAGAGCGTGATCCGTGGCTTGGTGCTGAGCGGGCTGGAGAGTGTGAGGGGCACTCCTTGGGGCAAAACCTAAAGCACCACAACAGGGGATTAAGGGTGGAGCATCTTTGGGTGGGAGCCTCTCACACGGTTGAAGAAGACACTTGGGAGATGCCTAATGGTGAGGGAGACGCTTGGGCAAGGGGAGGGCATGTGATGTATCAAATGTGCAAGCCGGGCAGTCCCGCTTTGGAAGGCAGCCTGGGGGCAGAGCGCCAGCGTGCTAACGGCGAGGAAGAGCGGTGTGGCAGGAAGATGCAGATGCAAAGGGAGCATTCTCCTCTGTGCACCTTCGAGCACATTGCAGGTTTCTGCAGATTCACAGGGTGAATGCAACCCACAAGCTACTCGCCCTGGGAGCCGCGTGGAGGTTAGGGCTTCTCTCCTGGTTTCCGTGGCTCTGGAGGGCGAGTCCTGAGTCCTTCTCACTCCAGAAGCCGATGTTGCTTGGTGCCGTGGGAGTGGCCTACCCTCCAGTCCACAGCTGCCCCCGGGATCTGGCACCTTGGAACCCGGGTGAGGGAGGGGTGGTGGGTGTGGAGTGTGGGGTGAACCGAACGGGCGCTCAGGCCTGCCTGGCTCTCGTTCGTGTGTGAGAGACAAAGCAAGAGCACCAGCGTCCCATTTTCCGCTGAGAGCTGCAGGGTTTTCGCTCCCGTTCCCTGAGCCCTGACCTGTACTCTTGTATGGTGCTCTTGACTTTGATTGCATCTATTACCCAGCGGTTACTGTGCTGGGTGTTGAAAGAAAACTGTAAATGAGTCATTTTTAGGAGTATTTTCACTCCCCCCCCCCCCCCCCCCCCCCCCCAGCCAGCAGGGAGGCAGGAAAGACAGGGAGCAGCTAATGCTAACGTTACAGTGAGGAGACAGGCGTGGGGAAGTTGGGCAGCGAGTGGCGGCAAAGAGCTTGGGTTTGTGTACTCCCGCCGCCTGGGCTGGACCCAGCTCTCCCTCTGCTAGCCGGGTGGCAAGTGGACACGTTATGTGGCCTTTCTGAGCCCAGGCGCGCCATCGGTAAAAGGGCATCGCAGTACTGCTCACCTTGAGCTGAGGCATCAGAGGGTACGTATGTGCGACGCTTCCCACGCGCAGCCTGGCACGCAGGGAGGTGCCAGATAAACGCCGAAATGAGTGAGTGAGGTTACCCAGCTGGTAAGCAGCTAAGGAGGACTTGAACCTGGGTCTGGTCCTGGCCTGGAGCTGGCCCCGCGCCCCGAGCCGCGCCCTCTCCCGCCCCGCCCGCAGGTCGGCGCTGCTGGGCAAGGTGCTGCGCATCGACGTGGACCGCAACGAGCGCGGCCCGCTCTACCGCATCCCGCGCGACAACCCGTTCGTGGGCGACCCCGCCGCGCGGCCCGAGGTCTACGCGCTGGGCGTGCGCAACATGTGGCGCTGCTCGTTCGACCGCGGCGACCCCGCCACCGGCGCCGGCCGCGGGCGGCTCTTCTGCGGAGACGTGGGCCAGAACAAGTTCGAGGAGGTGGACCTGGTGGAGCGCGGCCGCAACTACGGCTGGCGCGCGCGCGAAGGATTCGAGTGCTACGACCGCAAGCTGTGCGCCAACGCCTCCCTCGGTGACCGCCACCCCCCACCCCGGGGCCCTCCCCGCGCCCCCGGGGCCCACCTCCCCGGAGCCGCACCCCTGCCCCCGGCCACGGCTGTGCCCAGCGCCTCCCTTGTGCGCCCCACCCCTGCCCCGTGTCGCGTGGAGACCGCCCGCGTGCCCCGGGGACACTGATCCTGGATCTGTCCCCCGTCCCAGAGGGTGTGCGCCAGCGCATCTCTCCCTGACCAGCCGTACCCCATCCTGGATCTCCCCGAGCCTCTCCCTGCTTCCCAAAGCTCCTGGGCTGTCCTGGCTCTCCGCCCCAACCTCCCCATCCCCCTCTCCCTCCCCCGCACCCCTGCACACGCAAGCTCGCCTCCCTGCTTTACCCGAGCTGCGAGGGGCCCCAACTGAAGCCTTCCTGGTGACCTCCCACCCCCTTGCCCTTCCGGACTCAGACCACCTACCGAGCTTCATTGTGGGGGAGGCTGGCCCCCGGTGAACCCACATGCTCATCCCCAGTTTCCGTCCCCTCTGCAGATGATGTGCTGCCGATATTCGCCTACCCGCACAAACTGGGCAAATCGGTCACGGGAGGCTATGTGTACCGGGGCTGTGAGTACCCCAACCTGAACGGCCTCTACATTTTCGGCGATTTTATGAGTGGGTAAGTGGCCCGTGGGCTCCCGTGCCAAAGCAGCCCCCTGCCCTGAGTGTCTCTGGCCGCTGCCGCGACTTTGTGTATAAAGCGGAGAGCGCAGGTGCGCGTGCAGGTGCGCGTGTGCAGGTGCGTCCTCCATACAGCTGCTGTCTGACCGGGTCCTCCAAGTGCCAGGCAAGCAGTCTCTTCCTCTGGCAGGAAGTGTGGAGTCTCAGCTCTGGAGACACCCTAACCAGCCCCCTTTTCTCCTGATATTCGTCCTGAGCCTTGCTGGCTGCCTCAAGCACCACCCCGAGGGCACAGCTCACCACGAGAGAGAGAGAGAGAGAGAGAGAGAGAGAGAGAGAGAGAGAACGCTTGGTTAGTGCAGACCCATCGTCTTCCCCCCCACCTGACATTCCTGGGCTCCAGGCCTGACCACCGGGAAGGCCGGGAAGGCCAGACGGCTGAGGTGGAATGTGGGGGGGGGAGGGGACATGAACAACTTCCGTGACAGACTCCTGGCTGCTTCTTGGGTTTTTAATCTTTTATTTATTTCTGAGAGAGAGAGACAGCATGAGCAGGGGAGGGGCAGAGAGAGAGGGAGATACAGAATCTGAAACAGGCTCCAGGCTCTGAGCTGTCAGCACAGAGCCCGATGCGGGGCTCGAGCCCCCGAACCATGAGATAATGACCTGAGCCAAAGCTGGACGCTTAACCGACTGAGCCACCTAGGTGCCCCAGGGGCCCCCTGGCTTCTGAGGAAACCTGGCCCTGTCGCTGCACCAACTGACTGGGGCTCCGGGGAGTGGTGATCCAGAAGAGGCCAGAGAGGTCATTCTGCTGGGGTGGAGAGGATGGGGTCCAGCCAGGGTCTGGCCAGTCCCCACGCTCTGTGGCAGGGTCACCTCACTCACTGAGACCCTAAAGGGTATATGTGTGTGTGTGTGTGTGTGTGTGTCTGTGTGTCTGTGTGTGTCTGTGTGTGTTTGCATGGGGTGAGGGTTGGGACATACCAGGTTTTGGAGGGAGAAAAGAGAGCATACCTCCTAGGCCTGCTGTGGGTCAGACGCTTTCCCGAGGAGAGCCATGACCACCTCATCCTCCCATTGTACAGAGAAGAAAACTGAGGACCACGGAGCCCCAAGGAAGACATATACCTGGCACGAGGCTTAAAAGTGCTGTTGGGGGAGGGGGGTGCCTGGCTCAGTTAAGAGGGATATGTAGCTCTTGATCTTGGGGATGTGAGTTTGAGCCCCACATCAAATGGGGTTTGAGCCCCATTTAAAGCAGAGATTGCTTTAAAAAATAAACAGGGCGCCTGGGTGGCTCAGTCGGTTAAATGGCTAACTCTTGGTTTCGACTCAGGTCATGATCTCGTAGGTCATGAGTTTGAGCCCCAAGTCTGGCTCCACAGTGACAGTGCAGAGCCTGCTTGGGATTCTCTCTTTCTCCCTCTTTCTCTGTCCCTCCCTAACTCTTACATGCACTCTCTCTCTCTTTCTCAAAATATACACTTAAACATTTAAATACATAAGTAAAGATTTTGAAAAAAATAATTTCTTTAACTTTATCTTATTTTTAAGTAATATCTACCCCCAGTGTGGGGCTCGAACTCACAACCCGGCGATCAAGAGTGGCATGCTCTACAGAAAGACCTAGCCAGGCACCCCAAGTAAAGCTTTTGTTTAATGCAGGTAGAGATTACTTAAGAATAAGATCTTTTTTTAATGAAAAATTATGTATTTATTTTAGTTTTTTAAAATGTTTATTTATTTTGAGAGAGAGAGACAGAGACAGAGCACGAGTGGGGGAGGGGCAGAGAGAGAGGGAGACTTAGAATCCAAAGCAGGCTCCAGGCTCCGAGCTGTCAGCACAGAGCCCCACATGGGGCTCGAACTCATGAATGGGGAGATCATGACTTGAGCCAAAGTCAGACGCTTAATCGACTGAGCCACCCAGGTACCCCTTATTTATTTTTTAGATAGATTCAGTACATGCATGCATGATCAGGAGTGGGGCAGAGGGAGAGACAGAAGGAGAGAGAATCCTAGGCAGCCTCCACACTCAGATCCGAGCCTGACGCAGGGCTTGATCCTGCCACTCTGGGATCATGACTGACCTGAGCCAAAGTCAGAGTTGGACACTGTATTGACTGAGCCATCCAGGTGCCCCAAGAATAAAATCTTAAGGAAAAAAAAAAGCATTGCTGAGATGGCTTTGGTCTGATCCTGGCCAGCTTATTAGCTGTGTGGCCTTGAGCCAGTTATTTCATCTCTCTGTGCTTCAGTTTCCCCATCTGTAAAATGGAGACGATAATAGTACTTGCTTCCCAGGGTTTGAGGACCGAATCACTTAATATACATACAGCACTTAGAATCCAGTATGCGCTCACTGTCTGGCGGCTCTTAATTATTCCCACCCCAGGCTCTGCATACGGGGGCAGCTCAACAGGGTTCCCCAGAAGTAGAAATAAAGAAATAAGGAAGCCTGAGGATGGCCAGAGAATTCTCATCTCTTGCAGGCTGCTGAGGCGAGGTTGGTTTCTGTCAGCCCCCACACTGACCTTGACCCAGGCCTCTGGAGTCTGGATCCTCCCCAAGCTCCGCCCCTTCCCTAGGGTCCGCCTCTGCCGCTCAGCTTTCTTCTCTGGAAACGGGTCTGGACGAAGCCTCTGTTTCTATGTCTGATTCTCCATTCTCCCTTTTCCTGGCCCCCATGAGAACCCAAGTCTCTTGGCCACACACATTCAACGAATTTTGCCCGCCTTTCCCAAGCCCTTCTGCTGCACCGGGGGTCCGCCCACTCTAGTCCAGCCTCAGGCAGCCTGTGCGCAGTGCTGGGGGAGCCCAGTGCAGGGGCAGTCAGGAGGGCTTCCCAGAGGAGGGTCCGTCCAAGCTGGTGATGGACGGAAGGAGACGGGAGTAAGGGGCAAGATCAGCATATTCTGAAGACACCCAAGCATCTCCGAAGTGGAGGCAGCTCCGGAGAATAGACAGACTTCTGGCCCCCAGCCTTGGAGGATTCTGAGGCTCCTGACTGCCTCCTGTAGGTCAGTGGGTGGGGCTGAGCTGAGGGGGCGCAGGGGACAGGCTGGTCTCCTTCCCTTGCCCTTTCCTGGTGCATAGGAGGTGCCCAGTGAGGAATGCAGCAGGGCCTGCTTTATGGGAGCACCAGATCCTAACGGCCAGGCCATCAGGGAGCGTCGAGGGCCAGCTTTGTGGATGTGCGGCTGTGCCGATGCACAGACCTCGTGCTCACAAGGGCCCGCCCTTGACCGCACAGTGGCTAAGTTCCGCTCACTATATCGAAATACTTGGTAGTTTTTGAACAAGGGGGCCCTGTATGCTCATTTTACATGGGATCCTGCAAATGAGGTGCAGTCCCGGCTGCATGAATAATACGCATGGATGGAGGGACCATGGGTTGGCTTCCCCCGGGCAGCGTGCCGGCCAGGACCCCACAGCGTATCCTTCTTTGCAGGCGTCTGATGTCCCTCCGAGAGAACCTGGAGACGGGCCAGTGGCACTACAGCGAGATCTGCATGGGTCGCGGCCAGACCTGCGCGTTCCCAGGCCTCATTAACAATTACCACCCACATATCATCTCCTTTGCAGAGGATGAGGCCGGTGAGCACTCCTGAGGCCCTGAGGCTGCTCTGTCCAGGCGGCCTGCCCGGGATGGATCCCCCCCACCCCTCCCCCAGCCCCCGTGGGTCCTCTGGGCCTGGGATTCCAGGGATGGGGTCTCAGGCCTGAAATCCCCCTAAGGCTGGGGAGCGGGAGTACAGGCCTGAGACCTTGCTGGGGCTTCGGCCCCCACCAGCCTGAGCTCCTGTCTCCTCATCTGGAAGATTGCAATATGTCCCTGCCCCCCCGCCCCCCATCTCCCTGCAAGGCTGCTTCTAGGCCGCCAATGATGATGCAGATTGAGGACACCAGGAAAGGGTTTATGATGGTGGAAGTGCAGGCTGGCGGGGGAAGAGCGTGTCCCAGACCCCCACCACCCTGGGTTCGTGAAGCCCCAAGCAATCTGGCCTATGAAATTAAGCCACATAGTCCTCAGAAAGTGGGTAGACACCACCCTCTGGCACACCCTTTTGCTGCCATACTTGTTAGTGGGTTCCCATTCAGGCTCTTGCATTTTCGATGCAAGGCACAGGGAGGGAGGGGAGAGGATGAGGGGCCCTGGAGGCTCAATCCTGCTCCAGCCTCCTGCCTTTGTCCTTGGCCCCCATTGTCCCTGGACAAAAGCCGAGGGGCCCCCAGTGGGGCCTGGGGGGGGGGATGCTGGGCAGAGTTGCTAGGCAACGCCCACCCTGGGACCTTTGGAGGGGTATCCCCTGCGGGGCCCAGTGCCCAGAGCCCCCAGGCCTAAGTCTGGGAAACCTTTATTGGATGACACCCGTCACAGTCTAAATTTCAAAAGGGCAGCCCCAGCCCCCCCTGCCCCCCCAAACCCACTGGGCCTTGAAAGCCTTTTTCTTTTGGTCAGTAGGGGGTTAATGTGTTTTGGAAGGAGGGGCGCCCTTCCCCCACCAGGACCAGGGCTTGGAAGGTGCAATTCCCAAGGGGCCCTTGTTCAGCCCTCTGAGTGACATCAAGTAACGGATGGCCAGGAGGAGGCTCGAAACCACACAGCCCAGGGATAGCACACTGGTGACCTCAGGCCGGCGACCCCCAACCGCTTCCGCCCCCCAAGGCTCAGAGCCCCGGGGTCTAATGCAGACAGTCCTTCCCCAGCTCCAGCCTCAGGCCCCAGCTCCGGGCCCCAGCTCCTACCTGTCCAGTCGTTTTTTCTGACACTTGCAAACTGCAAACAAGGACCTCTGCTGGCTTGGTGTCCTCCAGGGATGGTCCACACAGCAGAGAGAAGCAGGCAGTGTGGCCCTGGCTAGGGCTCTGCAGTGCCAGTGGGGGGCAGTGGCTCCCAGCACGCGAGGCTTATAGGCCAAGCAGAGTGCCTGGTCCAAGCCTATTGCTTCACAGAGGTGGGGTTGGGGGGACGGTACCCGACCTGGCCCCTGAAGGCCTCCCGCGGCCTTGAGCTTGAGCTTGGTCAGCCAAAGGAAGACCGGCCATGGAAAAGGGAATTCCAGGAGGAGGGAGCAGCATATGCTAGATGGCTTGCGTCACTCCCGGGCCCTGGAGAGTAGGTACGAGGGCTGCACAGCCAGGGAGGAGATGGGCTCCCGGAGGCCTCTCTTCAGAAAGAGGTCCAGAGACGGAAGTCATAGCTCAAGGCTGCACAGCAAATCCATGCCTGTGACATGGGTTCTCCAGCAGGGGCTGTCTTCCTGGGGTTGCATCATCACCTTGGGGACCTGTTAAGCACCCCCCAACCCCTCCAAAGCAGGGCTGGAGCTTCTGGAGGGGGGTCAGAGGCCATTGAGCTCTCAGCATCCTGACCTCCCTCAGCCCCAGGCTCCCCACCACAGCTGGGTCTACCCCACTTACACGAGTTCCCCACCCCTCCCCCAAGCTTCTTCTGCTTTGTGGAATTCTCTGGGATTCTTGGGCCTTGATTCTCAGACCCCACCCCCATGCAGCCCTCCTTGACTGCACCAGTCCCCACAAACATGCCCTCCTCTGAGTTCTCACCTCTCTGTCCATCTTAGCCTTTCCTTGGGGACTGCCCCCACCCGTGGGAGAACTCTTTGCTGTCCTTTTACAAAGACAGAACTATTAACATGGCCAGGCTGTCACATTGAATCCCACCTGGCCTGTGTCTGGGCCTCCCAGGCACCAAGCGTCCTACGGTGATGAGGGCTCTGGGGCAGCAGACATTCCTGAGTTCCAGGCCGGCTTAACCACTCCCCAGCTGTGTGACTCTGGACAAATCACTTAAACTCTCTGAGCCTTTCATTTTCTCATCTGTAAGATGGGGACGTTTCCTGGGCCTTGGTTCCTCTGGCAGCAAGAATCAGGGGGCGGGATGAGGGTGAGGAGAGAGAGAATTCATTCACTCAGAGTATCCAGGTGCTCATAACTCTCAGGGGCTCTGAGAGGGCACAGAGACTGAGGCTCCAAGTGGGGCTGTCCTAGAGCTACAAGTACGCATGTGGGGCTAAGCGCGGGGGCTGGGGTTCAGACTAGAGACCCCCAAGCGTGGGCTCTTCTGCCCCCGGGAGGTGCTTGCTGGTCCGTGGAGAGACTCTGGCCTCAAGGACTTGGCGGGACCTGGATCCTGGAGGATGACAGTGATAGCAACAGTGACAGCAGCTAATATCGATTGAGCATTTAGTCTGTGCTCTTTTAACCCTCATTACGGCCCTAGGAGGCATCCCGCATCGGGGATCAGGAAGCTGGGGCTCAAAGAGCCACATGTGCCAACAGTGGGCAGGGAGCAGTTGGCTGGGGAGCTGGGCTGTGGCCCCTCACTTGTACCCAGGCACGTGGGTGCTGAGCATGAAGCCCGGTGGGGACCAGGGTGCAGCTGGGTCCCCAGAAAGGAGGCAAGAAGGTGGGTAGGTCGAGCAGGCAGCCCGGGAGACTGCTGGAGACTTCCCTTTCTCGGCCTCTGGCTCCTGCAGACCGAGAACGCCCCTGGCACGGCTCTCTGGGGTTGGGGTCTCTGTCAGATCTGGCAGGGGAGGGGGAATGGGGGTGGGTGGGGTGCTGGTCGGGATCTATCCTAGTCCTTGTTTTCACCCCTTGCCTGGTTTCTCGCCCAAGGGGAGCTGTACTTCATGTCAACAGGCGTGCCAAGCGCCGCAGCGGCCGCTGGGGTTGTCTACAAAGTGATTGATCCCTCCAGGTGAGCCCCGCCCACGGCACTGCCTGGGCTCCTGCTGTCCTGCTGGGGGGAGGGGGAAGGGGGAAGGAGGGGGAGGGGTGGGGGGAGGGGGGTCCTCGCCTCCGTTGCCTTGTTTTCCCCTCCACCACCTGCTCAGGGAGGATATCACTCAGAGCCCCATTTTTCAGAAGGGAACACTGAGACCCAGAGAAGGGAAGTGACTGTCCAAGCCCATAGTGCTGGTGAGGGGCAGACCCAGGACTCAAAACCGGGTATGCCATCTCATATCTAGCTCTGCTCACGGGAGAAGGCGGCCAAGGATGCCCCCCGGGGCAGATAAGCATGGGCTTGGTTTGGCTTTCTGGCCTGCTCCCCGCCCCACCCCTGTCCTTTCTCCTCTCCGACATGCCCCTCACTCCTCATTTCCTGGGCCAGCCCATCCCCTGCACCAGCCGACAGCCCCCAGCCCCTGACTTGCCTCTGAGACACCCTGATGCCCGCCTGTCCCCACCTCAAGGCTGATCTCCCACCTTCCCCCTGGCTGCTGTGTGGAACATGCTGGAGCTTTCACAACACCTCCCTGACCCTCTCCCTGCCCATCTCCATCCACTTTGCTTCTACATGTAAAGCCACTGATTTGGTGCCAGGCGGTGTTCTGGCTTCTTCCACGTGAGACTCGTTGATGTCGCAGATGCTTAGTTTACAGAGATAGAAGTCATGTAAAGTCAAGTGACCCGGTCCAGCCAGAGCCAGAGGTGGGGCTGAGAGGGGGCATCTGGCTCCAGAGCCCTGCCCTGCCCCCTCAGCTTGAGCCTTAGGCCTCCCTGCCTCCACGGAGCCTTTTCCCTCCTGGACTGGTCCTGTGCACTCCTCGGCTCTCACCACTCAGACCCCTCGTCTGTACTCTCTGCCTCACATGCTCCTGAAGCACCTGCTCACTTCTGGCAATCATCCTGACACGGACAGTTGCCCTGACCTTTGAAACACGCTGGTTTTGGAAGAATCCTGAAAACATCATCACACTTAAAAAAAAAAGAATTTTAAAAACTCAGCGTAGACTTAGATGTGCAGACAGTTTGCAAAGATAGTTTGGAATTTCCCTCGCCTGACGTCCTCTGTCCCAAAAATCCCGCATCTTCGGGGTCACAGGGCATGAACAGATACTGGTCCATTGCTATTACTTAAAGGATTTCTCTGGGTTTCCTCTGCCGGCCTTTTTCCGCTCCAGGATCCTTTCCAGAGGCCACGTTACATTCAGCCATCCTGTCTCATGGCTTCAGCTGGTCTGTGACAGCCTCTTAGACATTCCGTGGTGACCACACTTTTGTTTTTTTTCCTAAACACAAATCTGTTTGTTACCGACATCATTATTTACCAGGAAACACAGAAACACTCCCTCCTGTCTTCCCTCCTTTCCATTTTCCCCAGGTCTCCTCCGGCTTTCCCCTTCTCCACCGGTCTCTCTGCCGGTGCCAGGATTCACATCCACGCAGAGGAGCACACACAAACTTTGCATTTCTCTTTGTTCTCTCTGTTTTTCTCCCTGTTTCGTACACACATCGCCACCGGGGAACACCACTCTCCAAAGGATCGTTTTTAATGGCTGTGTAATTTGCTGTTGAGTCCCTGTGCCATCATTATCTTACCCATTCCTTGGCCGTTTAGTTTATTTCCTCTTTCTTTCTTTTCTTTCTTTCTTTCTTTCTTTCTTTCTTTCTTTCTTTCTTTCTTTCTTTCTTTCTTTCTTTCTTTCTTTCTTTCTTTCTTTTGACAGAGTGCTGCTCTAAGGGAATATCACATACATGGAGCATGTAATTCATGCCAGAGGCTCTGCCTCAGACCCGTCCTCTGCTTTGGCCACGCGGCTCATTTTCCTTCCCTTCTGGCTTCTTCTCCTGACGGAGATGCCCAGTGGCTGAGGGAGGTCTCCTGTTCTGGGTCTCCTGGAGTCGGGGAACCAGAAACAGGCTAGACTCCCTCCCTTCCCTCCCTCTCCCTCGTTTCTTTTGTGTTTCTCTGATGGAATGCATGTCTGCCTTTGCAACAACACCTTACTGCATGGAGGCTCCCTTCCAGGACATCGGGGGTGGCCAAGTGGGCCCAGCACCCCCCCAGACACAGCCACTGTGGCAGCGGGGGGTGTATTTCCACCTTTGGCATAACAGAGTTTTTGTGGGGGTTTTTTGTTGTTTTTTTTTTACGTGATTTCCTTAAGGAACACAACCGAGCGGGGCCTGCCTGAAGAATGCAGGTATTATCTGGGGTTGGGGGCGGCCTGCAGCTTTGAGACGCGAGCGTGCCTGGCTGTGTGTGTGTCTTCAGTCTCTGGGTGGGGGAAGGCCCAATGGGCCTCCTCAGTTTCCCTCTGGCCGTGCCTGTCTGGAAGCCACCTCATGTCACATGGCCACTTCACCCCTTGGGCTTTCTCCGCGTGCTGCTGGGACCCTATTGAAGTCTGGGCTCACGTGGGCTGGTCCCAGAATAGGGCCGGTCTCATTCAGAGACTCACAGAATGACAGCCAAAAGCTAATTAAAATGGAATTCCATTCCTTACTTGTGCCCCTCGGAGATGGCAAAGGAGACCCAATTCATAGCCCTGGCAACCCTTCTCAGACTCTTTTTTTTTTCCTAGAACTCTCAAGCCCCACCCTCCAGGGCCCCAGATCCCTCAGCTCTGGGTGCCAGCCCCGAGGCTCTCCCCGACCCTTTATCTTTAGACTGACCTTACCTTTCCCTCTGATGTCGCATCACCAAAATCCAGGCGGAGAGAGAGCCTCCTCACCGGCTGCGCAGTGCCGGGGCGCGGGTGGGACGCGGGATCGGGCTGCGGCTGCAGTTACAGAAGTGGGCTGATCACATCCCCAAGGCCAGTTCACGCTCTGAATCCGAGGTGGCCCGGGAAAGCCTGAGCCGCCTGCCCTAGCGCTCTTGAAGCAGAGGCCGGGCAGGCCCTTGGCAGGATTTCTGTCCTGGGCTTGGGCTCCTTAGAGCCCTGGGGGGCCCAGAGCACGCAGGCTGCCACGGGCCACACCGTAGGTGCCCCACAAATGGCCACCGTTGATACTGTCCACACCCGCCCAGGCCTGAATGCACACACACGCCTGCCCTGCTGCAGGGGGAGAGCGGGTGGCAGAGGGACACACTCATGACCTCCTTCCTGTGTGTCGGCAGACGGGCACCACCCGGCACGTGCCAGACCCAGCCCACCCAGGTGAAGGTGAGGAGCCGCCTCATCCGTTTCGTGCCCAAAGAAAGTAAGTGCCCACACAGCAAGGGGGGATCCTCCTTGGCCCATAGCAGCTGGGCAGAGGGGCCTTCCAGCGGGCCTTGGATGCCCTTCCTGGGCCCCTATGCCCGGTGCTGGGAGTGGCACACAGACACATTCAGTTAAAGTTGGTGGGGCTCTTTAAACCCGGGTCATGGGGGAGTGGCCTCAAGGGGGCAAAGGAGAAGGGAGAGATGCCAAGTACACTCAGAGCTCTTGGGGCAGAGACAGTGGGCTTATCTGAAAGGGCGCAAGATTGGGATGAGGTGTTCCGGGTGCAGAGCCCCAGGGGAGGGGGCATTTGCCTGGGCCCCCCCCCCGCCCCCCCCACAGGATGGTTCATTTTTGACCAGTTTGGTGGAGAGGGAGGTGGGTGCAAATCCAGTACCTGAGGGCCAGGCAAGGCCACAGATGACGGTCCCTGGCATCTGGGGCCAACTGAAAGGGTGTGTCTTTCCTCCCGGGCCCCAGGTTGGTGGGACCATAGAGCCAGTGCTGGCAGACCATCCAGTTTGCATCCATCCATCCATCCATCTATCCATCCATCCACCTGCTTACCACATACCTGTGCCTCGTGCTGGGGACACATCGCTGAGCAAGACAGACACGGTCCCTGCCTTCTCGGGCTGCCATATACAATCTCCCCATTTGCAGATTTGGGCGACTTTGGCTCAAAATTTTAAAAGTCACCCTGCAGGCCAAAGGACAGGCTTCAGCGGGGCCAAGTGTGCCCAAGAGATGCATCACCAGTTGGTGGGCTGAGGGGGAGGGGAGCAGGAAGTAGGGGTGGGGGGTGTTGGACACCGGGTGGTGGGGGGGGGCCTACCCTGAGGAGGTGGCGCCCCCAGTGGAGGAAAGTTGGGGGAAGGAACGAGCTCAGTGTTTTGTGACGTTCATTCTAGCTGCAGTCAATTCCAGGCCTTGGCCAGTTTTCCATTCATTCAGCAGTTTCTGGCACTTTCAATAGCCACCCATTCGGTGCCGGATGCTGGGGCCACAGGAGAAGGCAGACCAGGGCCTGTCCTGGCTGAGACCGACAGAGAAGTCACTTATGGTCCCAAGGCCATTACAGAAGTGTGTGCCAGCCACCGTGGGGACCCAGAGCAGTGCAGGACTGGGGTGGGGGTGGGGGCGGTTCCTGGAGGCTGAGGGTTGGGGTCTGGAATGAAGAGGAAGGTCCACTGGGGTGGGGTGGGGTGGGGGCACAGTCTAGTTGGGGGGGGACCAGATCAGAAGGGGGGCAGCCTGGGGGCCGGAAGTCCTTCCCTGTGGGTGGCCTGGGGGCCCGAGTGCAGGGAGGGTAGCATCTGGCCCATGTCACTGTGCTCCTGGTCCTGAACTGCACATGGCCTTGAATCAAGACCCTTTCTCAGCCTTCATCTCAGCTGAGGTGGGATGGGGGTTGGGGGGTTAGGGTTTGGACTGGTGGCCCCGGGACCCCTCCCCATAGCAATGGCACAGTCTGGGAGTTCCGTCTCTCCTGGCAGTGTCTCCTAGAGGGTGAGGTTTATCTCTGGCTGACCAGGGCCAAGGGCGAGGGCCACGTGCTGCAGGGACACAGGGAGTTGCCCGCCTCAGCTCCCCATGCCTACTGTATCCAGTCCCGGTATTCTGGTAGATGGTCAGGGCACCCTGCCCCCGCCCCCAGGCAGGAGCCATGGGAGCCTGGAGGAGAGAGCTTCACCCTGGGGGCCCTGTGCCCTCCAGGTCCCATCCTGCCTGTCTGCCTTAGAAGAAATCCTCAGTTTTTCCCCCATCAGTGGGCCTCAGGGTCCTCACCCCTACCTGGAAGATTGGAACCAGAAAGGTTCACGTGCTCCGAGAAGCCCTCCCAGATACTCTTTCCCTTCCACTGGGCTCATGAGTTACTGTGTGAGGGTCGGTTCCCATCCCTGCTCCCAGACTAGAGGCTCCCAGGAGGCCAAGACTAAGGGCAGGGGAAGACCCAGCAGCAGACTGGCACTTCCAAGAGCTGAGAGCAGAATGAGAACATCTTTTCCTGGGGAGGGTCTGCATTTCGGGGTGGAGAGCCCGGGCGGTCTGGGCAGCCGGGGTCCCTCTGACTGCTTGCTCTTCCTCTGCGCAGAGTTCATCCAGAGGGCGGAGAGCACCCCACGGCCCACGGCGTGCGCACCCACCAAGGCGCCCCGCCGCAGCCGCCCCACAGCCGCTGCGCCCGCGCCCACCCCGCGGCCCGCACGGCCCACTCGGCGGCCGGGGGGCCGGAGGGGTGGCGGGAGGCGGCGGGGGCGCCCGGGCGCGGCGGAGTCTGCGCCCTCGAATGGCGCCGTGCGCCTGGTGCGGCCCGCGGGCCTGAGTCCCGGCCGCGGGCGCGTGGAGGTGTTCGCGGGTGGGCGCTGGGGCACCGTGTGCGACGACGCCTGGGACTCCAAGGCCGCCGCCGTCGTGTGCCGCCAGCTGGGCTTCGCGCACGCCGTGCGGGCCGCCAAGCGCGCGGAGTTCGGCGAGGGCCGCACGCTGCCCATCCTCCTGGACGACGTGCGCTGTGCGGGCAACGAGCGCAGCCTGCTGGAGTGCGCGCACGCCGGCGTGGGCACGCACAACTGCGGGCACCAGGAGGACGCGGGCGTCGTGTGCAGCCGCGAGGACCCTGACCTGTAGGCGAGCTCCGGCCGGCCGGCCAGGCCAGCTCCGTCCCGCTGGGCCTGGCGGGGCCCCGCCACCCCGGGCGCCCCGGCTGCCTGCCCGAGTCTGAAGGCGGAGGGCGCCCATCTGCAACACCTGTGGACGCTTGTGAGGTGTGTGCAGTGCTCGGGTGCTATGTCCCTGCCCGCGTGTCTTCTGCAGACCGGCAGCCACGGCGTGTTGGGGTCTCTGTGCTCATGGGCCCGGGTGTTCTTTTCTTACTCCCAGACATCTCAGGCATGTGCAGGAACACAGTCCGGCCATGGACCCTGAGCACTGAGGGCTACCACCCTTCTAGGGCAGACATGGCTTTGGCCGCATTAACAGAGGCACAGCAGGCAGATTGAGGGAGGGGGCCAGGTCTGTCCTGCCCAGGGCTGGAGTGGCAGGCCCGGGACCACCTGGAGCACGGCCTCAGAACCCAGGGCCGGCAGTCACAGGCGCAGAAGTGAACAGGAGGGCATCCAGTGGGGCAAAGGGAAACTGTCAGACGGATGGGTCCTCGTGACCCGTGGGCCCTGGCATCTGGGTAAGGATCAGGCTGCTTAGGGGGAGGTGAGCTCTGGGGAGGGGGTACTGGATGACCTGGGGGAAGCCTTCTGGTCACCTTGGGCTTCATTGTCATGCTGGGTCTATGTGGCTGCTCTGGGGACAGTGCTGGGCCCCCGGCCCTGAGACCTGACTCTCTCATGGTCGCTGGGACAGAGGCCACCACCCTCCGGCCACTCTCAGCACCATGGCCCCCAGAGAGTGACTGAGGTGCCAGGTTTCTCCACTTTAAAGGCCATCCTGGGGGCACTGGAGCCGCTTCGGTCACCTCCATCCTCACGCTGGTCAGTGAAATCGCAGGGACCCTCTGGCTCCTCCAGCTGCCCCCCCCCCCCCAGGAGTCTAGAAAGACTCCTGGTGCTCTGTCACTCGAAGCTGTGCCAATAACGTCACTGTTTACAACCCCCTTCCTGCCTCTTTCTGACTATGCTGCCTGGGAGCTGGAGGTAGGGGTGGGGGGGTGGGGCTAGACCTACAGCCTCCCTCCTGCTCACAGGTGGAAGTTCCTTTGCCCATTAAGGGTCTCCACCCTGGCTCCCTGACAGGCCCATCAAGGCTTGTTGAGTAGGGCACAGCCCCTGGTAGAGAGGGCAGCCACACGGTCACTGGGCAGTGAGGACAAGGTAGAGCCCGTGTCAGGGCCTCTCAGGGCTCTGGGTGGGTCATCCCAGCCCAACCCATCCATCCATCATCCTGAGAGGTGAGCCGGCCCCAGGGGTGTGTGCCCAGCAGAGGAAACAGTACAGGCATGTCTGGAGTGCATCGCCTGGCTGCTCACTGAGGCTGAGTGCGGAGGAGGGGACGGCATAGAAAAGCTCGGGGCCACCTCTGGGACTCCTCGTACCTCTGCCTTGGGTGGGCTTGCCTGGCCCTGTGGAGCCCCACCCGGAAACCATAGCCCCTGCCACTGAGTGTGGCTCGCGTGCGGGGCACCAGTGTGCCCACAGCATGCAGGAACTCATTTGAGTCTTTGAATGGCACTCTTCTCATCCCCCTTTTACAGATGGGGAAACTGAGGTGCACAGCCAGGGAGGGGAGAAGCCAGCTGAGAACATGCACAGCCTAGCTCTCGCACCACCCCATACCCTAACCATTGTACCCCAGTGCTGCTATGCAGGAGAGATGTGGCTTGGCCCAAGGGTGTTCCCCCCCACTGGGGGGTCGCCAGCCTGTCTGGGAAGCAGCTGATGGAGACCCCCCCCCCCCCCACTGCCCAGCGGTGGCGGACAGGCATCTTTCCCAGTCGTGGGGACATTCCGAACAGTGCTAGGAGCTGGGAGGGCCCATGGGGACTATTCAGGGTGAACTCACGGTGCACATGGAGGAAGGAGCCTGGGGGCTGAGAGTCCTAGGCCTGTCCCAGATGTGGCTGAGCTGACACTAGAGCCCAGGGAAGCTTGGGGCCCCTCAGAGCACGGTAGCCCCATGGCCTTACCCAGTGGGACAACCAGAGCTGTTTGTCCCCCTGAGCCTGGAATTAGGGGAGGTCAAAGCAGCCTCTTCCTGGGACTCCTCCATACTCTTCCCTGCCCTTCCCTGCCCTGTTGAGCCCCCTTTTCATTTCAAGACCTGCAGGCCATGATGCCACCAGGTGTGGCCTGGGAAGCAGGTGGAGGGGGAGGTGATGAGGGGGATCTTCCGTGGAGCCTCGGCAGTGATAGCCTGAAGCCACCGTCGGGGGCTCCTGGTACCTTCTCTCAAGTGGTGGAGCGGTCCAGCCCTCAACTGGGCCCTGAGTGTCACTGTTGTTTGTGGGACAACTGGGCGCAGTCCCAGGCCCTTCTGCTCCTCTGGATGGGGTCCTGCCCCCCCTGGTCCCCCATCTCGTGACCCCTTGGGCTCGAAACAAGGCTTAGGCTTCAGCCTGACTCCTGGACAAGGAGGCTGACACAGGCTCACTGCTCCTTCAGTAATATGGGTGCATAGCTGACATTCTGACATTCGCTGAGCACGTATCATGGTCACCCTTCATTGTACAGATAAACCAAGGCCCAGGGAGGCTTTGTTACCAGGCAGTAGGGCTCTGGGGGGCTGTCATACCACTGCCTAAAGAACATGGAGTTCAGTGTCTCCCCCACCTCCCATTGGCCCCTCACATCGTGCAGATGGGGACACAAGCCCAGAGGGAGGCAGAGCCGGGTTCAGACTCCCTGTCCAGTGCTCCTTTGACTCCACTGCCTATAGCTGGCTGCGGAGGGAGCATGCACAAGTGACTCTGTCCCCAGGGACTCGGAGTCCTCCAGGTCTTGGGGGTAGGGGCTGACCCAGGGGTCAAGGCTCCCTCTGCTCCCCCTCAGCCTTCGCCATCACCCCCTCTAACTGGGCTTCTGGTCAAAGGTTAGAGCAATCTCTCAGAACCTGGCCCAGAGAGGGGCTGCCGCCACCCAGTGTCACACAGCTTAGTTCTCGAGTCCCCCGAGCCCAATGCTACAGGGACGTTCCAGGTGTGCTCGTGCACCCCTGATGGGGCCTCGATTGTTCCTTGTTTACCTGCATCCCTCTAACAAGCCCGAGCCAGGCCAGGGCCTTCATCCCATGTTCAGAGGACAGCCACTTCAGACCCACGTCTCCCTCAACGATTTCTGCTGGGAAGCCACTTCCTGTCTGGCATTGTCAAAGTTGAGCAGAAACACTGCAGGGTGGGTAAAACACAAGTGGCTGGGGCCCTATCAGAGTTTTTGACTCCGTAAATCGCAGTGGGGCTGAGAATTTGCACTGTGTCCCCGGGTGATGCTGCTGCTGCTGGCTTAGAGGCCACGCGTGGAGAACCCCCGTCCATACCAGGGCTGTCCACTACTATGGAAGCACAGAAGTAACTTAAAATTTTCTAGGAGCCACGTTAAAAAAGTAAAATGAAATCGGTGAATTTTAATATATTTTCCTTAACGCAGCATATTCAAAAATGACCCTTTAACAGTTAATCAATATAAAAATATTAATGAGATTTTTAAAAAATGTTTTATTTATTTCTGAGAGAGAGACAGCGTGAGCAGGGGAGGGTCAGAGAGAGAGGGAGACACAGAATCTGAAACAGGCTCCAGGCTCTGAGCTGGCTGTCAGCACAGAGCCCGACGCGGGGCTCGAACCCACGAACCTCGAGATCATGACCTGAGCCAAAGTTGGATGCTTAACTGACTGAGCCACCCAGGTGCCCCAAAAATATTAATGAGATTTTTAAAGCATTTTTTATATCCAGTCCATTCAGTGTCTACACACACAGAACATTTCAACTTGGACTAGCCATGTTCTTCTTTTTTTAATGTTTATTATTTACCTTGAGAGAGAGAGAGAAAAAGAGAGCGTGGGAGCGGGGGGAGGGGCAGAGAGAAAGGAGAGCTAGAATCCCAAGCAGGCTCCACGCTGTTAGCACGGAGCTGGACATGGGGCTTCCTCCCACAAATCGTGAGGTCATGACCTGAGCTGAAATCAAGAGTCAGATGTTCAACTGACTGAGCCCCCTAGGTGTCTGTGGTCTAGCCCAGGTGCCTGTGGTGAAGCCATGCTTCAGGTGTGGGTTGGCACATATGGCCAGTGGCTGCCATATTGGATAGCCAAGTCTAAACCTTCCCAGTGAAGGGCCAGGTGGTTGGCCACATGCTTCCAGGCGGCACCCTCTGCTGGCAGCCTGTAGTGCTGCCTGCCCAGTGCTGTCTGAGCCTTGCGGGTGGCCTCTTTCATCACTCCCCGCCTGATCACCAGAGAGCTGGAAGAATCAGATGAGGTGCCAATGGGACACCTCAAGTGTCGTCAAGTGGACTTGGTGTATAGGGAGGGGACACTGTTGACTTGTCCCAGTCAGGAACAGGGATGCTCTATTGACAGAAATGCCAGTTGAGCCATGGTCACATCAAGTCAGAGGTTACTGGTGTTGAGTGATGCACCAGAGGATATTAACGCCCATTCCTCTCCTGAGCTCTAGCTGGACAGGCTCACAAATGCACCTTGAGGCTCCCCCTATGCCTGCCTCATGTGAGACCCCAGACTGTGCCCAGGGCAGTTTAGGACCTGGCATTGTCCTCAAAACACAGTTGTTGGGAGCCGTCCCTCGAAATTGCCCCCATCCCCTGGTGCTTTCACAGCCCAGGAGGGGCTGTACAAGCCGCCCACCCCCATCCACCACCCCACGCAGGGCCAGCCAGCGGCTGCTTCTCACCGCCATGTGGGGGCGCGGTGGCAGGCCGTCGTGCCCCACTCCTAACCCCCTAACTGTAGACGCATGTTGCTCCTCTAATCCCCGCGCCAGGGGGACGCCCAGGCTGCGGTGGTTTGGGGACAGGAGTCCTGTCTCTTCTGGATCCAGCTCTTAGACTGGACTGTGGCCCCTAGTGGGGGCTGCCCCTGGCTGCCCCTGGCAGGAAGGTACATGGGCCTTCTGTTTCCCAGCCCCCCCCCATCTCTCCGGGAGTGGCCCGCGAATGAGGCAGGGGCATGTCCCCTCCTCAGGAACTCAGCAGCATCTTTGCCGGTTGGAGCTTTGTCGGCACCAGGGGTGTGCATACCTGGCCCTTCCCACCCCCTGCTTCCACTCTGAGTGGGTTCTTGGTGTAGGAATGAGACCTAAACACGCAAAACTGGCCTCGTGTGTCCCACCCAGACGGGTGAGGACAAGGGGGTTACATAAACGGGAGGGAAGTTTCCGTTATTACTTCAGAAATACCCTTTGGCCACAGCGGGCACATTTCTCCTTTCCCTCGAGGGGCCACCTTGCGCACCCAGACTTTCACGCACTCCGGCTCCGGCCCCTTGCGGCCGGGGTCAGCGCCTCCGACTTGGCTTTCCCTGGGTCGCGGAGGTTCGGGAGGCGCCAAGACGCTGGGAGAGCAGACTCCGGTCCAGCGGCGCGCTCCTCATTCGCTGACACCGCCTCCCCACGCCCCCGGGGTCCTCGCCACTTGCCCAGTGGCCCCGCGGGGAGACCGGGGGCGCTAGGCGTGGACCCGCCAGGCAGGCGGAGCCCGCTTGTGGGGGTTGGGGGTTCCAGAGAGGTTTTGGCGTAATACGGACGTTTGGAGTCTGGGATGGGGTTCCCAGGGAGGTTTCAGGGAGCAGGAAAGGGGCCTAGGACCGCGCGCAGAAAACGCGGCTATTTGCGGGCGCCCAAGGGGGCGGAACCAGTCGGCTGGACCGCACTCGCCCGCCGGGGCAGGATGCGCCGAGGAATCGGGGTTGCCAAGGACAACGCGTTCTGGGCGGAGCTGCTTCTGGGAGAGAGCTTGAGGGGCGTGGGGGCGGGGCCTGGGGAGGCGGGGAGAGGGCGGGGCCTGGGGGTCTGAGCCAGAAGCGGCGCTGTGATTGGAGAAGATCGCATGCTCTGGGCGGGGCCTGGGCTGGGGAGGACCGTGTGGAGGTTGGGGCGGAGCTCGGCGCGCGGAGGGGGCGGGCCCCGAGAGCTGGAGCCCGTGGCGGAGACGTGGTTGGTGGGGACGGAGCACCCTGGGAGGGGTCGAGCCGGCAGGGGCGGAGCCTAGGGGGAGTGGGCGGTGCTGGGTCGCGCCGGGCCTGGGGCCGAGGCGGCGCGGCGCTGACAGCTGAGTCGGCTCGCGGCCTCCCGCCCCCTCGGTGCCCGGCCCCGACCCAGGCCGGGCCTGCCAGGGAGCCATGAGCCCCGGGATGCTGCTGCTGCTCGGCAGCGCCGTCCTGGTTGCCTTCGGCCTCTTCTGCACCTTCGTGCACCGCGCTCGCAGCCGCTACGAGCACATCCCCGGGCCGCCGAGGCCCAGGTGAGCGGGGGGTGGGGGCGGGGGCCTGGATGGGGCGCTCGAATGGGGGGCCGGGGGACCGCGTCCAAGCCGGCGTCGGGGCCGGGGGTCCAGCCTCGCCGTTGCGCGTGGCCGCCTGGAGACGGCGGCCGGGAGAGGGGCGCTAACTATTCTTAGTAACAAATTACTCACAGCCGCAGCAGCTGCTCCGCGCCCACCGCGCTCTGCTGGGCCCCACAAACGTGATGGCAGCGACAACCCTGTTAGGTAGGCGCTATTGTTACCCCATCGTTCAGACGAGGAGACTGAGGCGCGCAGAGGCAAAGTCACCTGCCCAAGGTCACACAGTTAGTAAGCCTAGATTTAAACCCAGGTCAGCCTTGGCTCTAAAGTGATCACTCTTAACTTTGGGACTTTAAATGGGGTCACTCAACCTGAACTGGACCACCCTATACTGGGTCACATTGCCCTTTGGTATTTCTGTCCTGGTACATGCTTTTTGTCTTCTCCTTAGTACTTGCATTCCATCCCCCACCCCCACCCCAACTCACCTCCTCCCACCAGAAGCTTACCTTTCTGAAGCCTGAATCAAATGTGTAATTTCTCTGCCCCCAAAGCTTCCCATCACTGTAGAAGGAAATTGAATTCTAAATTAAGTCCTCTGTATGGCCAGCAGGGCCCCTGCTGAGCTCTCAGAACCCACTCTGAACTGTTCTCATCCCCCTTTGCTTGCTCACTGCTGTCCCCAGTCTTTCTGGAACCCCTCCTGAAGCTGATTCCGTCCTCCAAGGTCTTGCTGCCCCCCATCCACCCTGTGTAAAGCCCACCTAGCTCCAGATTTCTTATGGGGCCGTCACCCCTGAAGTTGCCTTCTGTTCACTTTGTTGACTGTCTGTTCACCTGTTGACTGTGTCTGTCTCCCCCTTTAGAATGTAAGCCCTAGGAGGGCAGGGCACTGTGCATTCCCTTGTGTATCCCTGGCTCCTGGCACATTGCAGATGTTCAATAAATATTTGTTGAATGAATGAATGAATAAACAATGGCATTAGATACACTTTTTAAAACCCCAGGACATGAACATTCTGGAAGGTGCCCACCTCCAGCACAGGCCAGATGACCTGGCATTAGAAGCCTGAATTCCTGTTTGGTGGGTCCGGGAAAGATGTCTGTGGCTGGTGACACAGGGAAGCGACGGTTCTCCCTGCTGGCTGGCTGTCTTCCCAGGTGCCCTTGCCCACCTCTGGGTCTTCCTTTTCCCATGCCTAGCCGCTGTGTCTTCCACGCCACCTGGATGCTCCTTCCCCTCATCTCCCAGGTTGGGCTTCAATGCTAACTCCTCAGGGACGTCCCACCTGCTTCCATGCCCGAATATATTATGTTCATTTTGTAAACTCTTTGTCATTGTAACTGTAGTTGGGCAACTCTTTGTGCAACCTCTTGTTAAGTGTCTGTCTGTCCCTTAAGCCCGTGTCCGTCTCGTTCGCTGCAATGTCCCTGACACCTTAGCAGAGCCGCGGCTGGACATCCACTTGCATAGTGGATCCTCGGTAAACAGTGATTCCCAGTGGATGGTGGAAATCGCCTACGAGTCCTGTTAGGCACGCTGTCTTCTTTCGAGGTTTCCGATCAGCCACCGACAGCCTGGGATCGAATGAGCTTTGTGCTTGTTCTGCTTGGCCCCATCATGGCTTGGTCTCCACGTAAACCCAGATGCTTCGAGCACCGCAGACCTGCTCTCGTCTCTTTGTCTTGAGAAGGCAGAACTTAAATCACGCCCCTCTCCGCCTCTCCCATATATTTTTTTTCTTTATTGCATTTTCAGAATAAAATTGTGCCCTAAAATTCACCCTTTTAAAGTGTACAATCAGTACGTACTGGGATAGTGACAGAGTTGTGCCATCTTGAACCACTGGTCCCGGAGCATTTTTATCACCCACACAGAGACCCAATAGCCTTTAGTTGTCGCTCCTTCCCCCCTCCCCCCCCCCCACCTCCAGCCCTAGGCAACTGCTAATCTGTGCTCTGTCTCTAGATTTGCCTGCTCTGGACATTTCATATAAATGGTACCATACACTATGTGACTTCCTTCACTGAGCATAATGTGTTCAAGGTTTATCCATGTGGTAGCCTGTGTCCGCATTTCTTTCCTTTTTATGTCTGAATTCTCCCCCAAATCCTACACCGCGGAATCTCCGTGTGACCTACAGG